ATCCTCTCCACAATGAAATCTCTCCTATAATCTAATTGCGTTCAGTTTGCCGAATTTCATGTCGGATGGTGGCGAATGTATCTCGAATTGAAAATTTCTTGTCACATTTCTGAGATTTCTCATGCTTCAGATTTCGAATCTTTAAATAAAATGGTTAGTTAAACTGTGATCAGTAACATCGCAAGAGACCATTGTTATGTGGTGGTTCTAAAGAGCAGAACGACTCGCTCTCAAGTTGGTTTGAAACTTTGGACTTTTTGAGGAGTCTCTTAATGAGCAAAGAAGATTTTTACCCTCTCGTAGCCCCTTTCTTCACACGGAGGTGGTCTTGGACTTTCTCCATCTGCTGAATTTTTCGAAAGTTCGGTTTTTTTCAATTCGATCTCCTTCTCGGACATATTGAGAGCCTGAAATTTCGTTTGCTTACGGCAAGCAGTATATCGCATCTTGTGAGAAGCTTTCACTCACACCTGTAGCTAGACCCTTCGGAAACTTCAAAACCACCTGATTTTGGCTAATCCTACATCTGAATCGCCTTGCTACGTTAATAAAATCTATCACTCGATAATAAAGTTAGAAGTAATTCACCAGCCAATAATACTGACTAAAGAATAGTAAACGATAAATGACATCCTTAGTGATAATAGATAATAAAAGCAAAGCATAAGTAATTACAAGCAAATTTTTACGAACAACATCCTACTCTGAATTGTCCTTGTAATGCTACCGACTAAAGTTCGTCCGCAGCCACCAGACTATTACCTGAGTAGAATCTGTTTGGCTGGGCGATCCTTATAATTACGATTAATTTTACCACTGTCGCGACAAGTACACGCACTCATGCTTTCTCGTTTAACTTGGTGAAACTTTAACCAAAACAAATAACACAGAACAGTACGATTCATAAGTCTCACCAACGAAGCACAGCTGAGCTTTCAATCAAGCAGGCAAGATGTCACTTATATATTGTATGCAATTGATGAACGATTATGATCAGACCCGAGTCTTTGCAAGATAACAATTATGATCATCCTTCCATCTTTACCAATCAAGGAAATTCCCTCAAGGTAAAGCGATTACCCTTACGGGGAGGATCGAATAGGATAAGAGGACTCTTTGATGAGAAGAAATCGCTTAGGCTTAGGTAAATTTTCTGCTAATACTGCCCGATGATTGTAAGAATGGCACTTTGGTAGGCGCTCATTCACATACACATTTGATCAGTATAGATCAATAGATATTACACATTACTATAGAAAAATAGGTTTGATATATTCAAGCCTACCGTACTCTCAGCTTTGCCCAGTAACATATCAGTGTTTATACATCGCTCGATTGAACAGAATCTCAGTATTCTGAAAACGAAAATTTTGCTGAGAAAGTCCGCCTCTACGAGGAGATATAGCTGTTTTTCTGATGCGATAGGGATTACCACATTCAAGCCTACCGTACTCTCAGCCTTCAAGTAACACATTGATGTTTATACACCATTCGATCCAGCGGAATCTCTGCAATTAGAAATATATAAATATTTTTTGAGCGATTTCGCTTTCTTGAGGAGATGTAGCTGTTTTTCTAAAGCTATATCAATTAGCGCAGAGGCACTCATTCACATTCACATTTGATTAGTATAGATCAGTAGATATTATACATTACTATAGAAATATAGTTTTGATATATTCAAGCCAACCGTCTTCTCAGGTTTGCCAAGCAACATACTGATGTTTGTACAAGACTCAATACAGTGGATGTGAGATTCATTTACTGATCTGTTTATTTAAGCAGTAATTCCAACTTATTACGAGTTCAATGCCTCTCTGTTATCACACATATCAGAAACGTCACATTCTTCCTTCCTTAGTATCCCTCTTGATATAAGATATAGAGTGCATATTGTGAGTAGTGCGAGGAGATCTTGAAATTTTTCAGGGTGTAGGGGTGAAGAGGTTGAGAACGACTTCTATACGGCAATCATGAGTACCATTTTCAAACTTCTTGTGTGCTCAAGTTTGCCTGGCAAAACCACTGCTTCTTTCTAATATCTGATTCATCGAATTCTCAGATTTCAGAATAGTGTGCATCTTGTCGAAAGATTTTGCTTAGTTCAAGGGATTTAGCAGATTTTCTGAAGATAATTGATGATCTTTCAAGTGCTTGAACCATTCTGTAATGCCGTTAAATTCTTCACATTTGATCTCTATGGCGTGATCAATGACACTTTCCAAAGACATATCATTTGTACCGTTTTCATAATATTAGTATCCTCATGTCCTCATGGCTGTACGTCTACCATTAGTACCATTTTCATATCAGCTGTATCCTCAGCTTAGAATCTTCTGAAATCAAACTGGAGAATCTTATGAGATCGGTTCTGGAAAGCACTCGCGAGTTGCCTCCCTCCATTGGAGAATTCTCTCACT